AGAAAATTTGAATGGAATTGTAGGCATTAAAGGCATTAAACCAGTCTCCCACTTTCAGGAAAGAAAGAAGTTGAAGAAACTCCGAGGAAGGAGGTGGCTGTGGAGAGCAACGGCTCTCCCCGAGTCCGCTGCACTTTGGGGGCGGGCAGCCGTCCCCGCTTTCTGTGTCTAGAGATCAGAAGAACAGGGGAAGAGCCCCAGCTCGTACTGCGGGGTGCTGCCGCCTGTGTCCCCCAGCCAGACGGGGCGGGGCGAGGCGGCAGGCCAGCCGCAGTGCAGACAGGCGCGCGCAGCAGCTCCGGTAGCACTCGGACTCGTTTGGCCAGGTTTTCCACCTCTGTAACTAAAGCAATGTAACTGAAGTCTCGTCATTTTTCGTAGCACTTGAAGATCTATCCCAACACTCAGTTGGAAGAGTGACCGTGTAAGTCCGGGCGGCGGCGGCAGAAGGCTGCTGTCACGGGGGACAGATCCGGAAGGGACGGCCGGGTGCAGGGAGAACCGCTGATGCTGAGTTTGCCGCTACTTAAAAGGAAGTGTGAACCAAATGGAAGCGTGCTCCTCTCTCACGGGAGAGCACATGCAAAGGCAGGCCGCCCAGAGCTGCTGCGTCGGCTCTCTGGTTGCCCGGAGGCCGGGTTCCGGCTTCCCACCCTGTCCATCCTGCATCCTGTTCTCAGAGCCTTCCCAGCGCCCAGAGGTGGCCAGATGCCAGCCTGGGGTCTGAGTCCCGGCAGCAGAGGGCTCAGCGGCAGGCCGCCAGCTGGCTCTGTGCCCCTGAGCAGCTACGTTTCACCATCTAGAGCCTGGGCAGGGGTCAAGTCTCCCTGCGGAGCAGGCTCGGGGAGCCGTCTGGAGGAGGATGGAGGCTCTGTCGCCCAGAAGGGAGGGAACGCAGGGCCGCTGCTGCGATCTGTGCTGTGTGCGGCTCACAGAAGAGGTGGCCTGGTCAGCGTGGGGACCGTGTGCACGCAGGGAACTGAGCCCTCCTTCCGCCCGTGCACGGAAGCATCTTCCAGACAGAGGAGGACCTGGGTGTGAAAAGGGGTGCCCGGCAGCATTTGGAGCCTGCACCTCGGCGTTTTCTTAAACAGGGCACAGAAAACCCAAGTTATAAAGAAAAACATGAGTAAATTTGGCTGAATTGAGATTTTAAAACTTATGTACTAAAATCCCCACAGATACATTGTGAAGAGAAGGCCACGCGCTGGGAAAAGGGTTCTGACCCACAGAACCAGCAGGGGGTATAAAGACAGTTCCTGCGGCTCAGCCAAGGGCCTTTGCCGGCAGGATGTGACCCTTCCGCCTCCTTGAAAGGCGGGTCCCCCGCACGCGCTTGAAAGTCAGGCCTCAGTGATGTGAAGCCTTGAGGTCCGTGTGGACGGTGCCTCATCTCAAGGAGAAGGCAGAGGTGAACGGGCGGGAGCACAGGGCGCAGGGACGGCTCCTGGCAGGGACGGCTCCTGGCAGGGACAGCGTTGGGACAAGCGCCCAGCCGCTCCTCCTCTCACCCCTCCACTCCAGGTGGCCCCTACCCGCGCCCCCCCCCGCCAGCTGGCGCCCTGCAGGTCAGCTCAGGTCTGACACCTCCCGGGGTTAGTGCAGACCCCCAGTTTCGGGGCTCACCCACGAGGCTGCGCCTCAGACACCGGGTGCTGGCATTGGGTGCCCAGGGTCTGACTGGGCTGCACCCCGAGGGTCCCTTGACCCTCCCTGGGTTGAGGACCTTAGTGGAATGGCTCCCAGAGCTCAGGGAAAACCTCCGCCTTAGGTTTACTGGCTGGTTATCTATCAGGGAAACCACCCAGGAGCAGCCAGTTGGTGGGGGTCCTAGGGGTGTGGGGGGAGGGGGTGTCCCAGCCCCCAGCTCCTAGCCCTGACCCTAGGGGCCTTCGTGCAGATTGATCGGATCCTTGGCCCTTGGGTGATTAACGTCAACCCTGCCCCTCCCTCATGGAAGGTGGGGCGGGCTGAGTCCAGCCTGCGATCTGCGCTTGGTTTCCCTGGACGACCCAGG